TACCTAAGTCAATGCATTTTAATGATATTTTAGGGAGTGGCCCACACCCATCATTCTCCCCATTCTTAAATCCGATAAACATAACCAAATATAGAATTTAATCATGTATGTGTGTGTGTGCATGAATGCACTATAGTAAGATAGTTCACTCTATCCCCACAATCAATTTCGACAAACACGACCAATAATTTTTTTTACTTCTTGAAAATATATTAAAATTATTTTAACATTAAATTTATTTTTTAAATGTTCGAATCATGAAAGAAAACTTGATTATATTCACAAGAATTACTAAAAAATTAAGAAGACAAAATTAAATAAATTGAAATATAAACTTAATTTAATATAAAACGAAGAGTGAAAATATTAATATCGATAGTTCTTTAAATATTGTTGAAAGATATATTTAAATAATAAAGACATCCAAGTTTTATTAGTATATTATATTGTATTATGCCCTAAAATCTTTAATCTATCAACTAAAAAATTAATTTTAGGGTATTAAATAAATCATAATAAAAAACTTTTAAATTTTTAAATGCTTATTTTTTCTTATATAATAAATTGGCAGAATAAAATTATTTTATAAATTTTGTGTCAAACTAAATAAAATGATAAGAATAGATAAATAGAAAAAAAGCTTCTTGTAAATAGAATTCCTTTGATGTTGCCCGCTTCTTTGATTTATAAGTTCTAAACAACTTCTCGAGTTAAAAAATTTTAAAAGGTAAGCGCAAAATATCTAACATAAACATGGACATAATTCATATAAGATGGTCAGACTATACAAATCATAAATTTAAATATTTCTAAAGACGGGATTTTTTAAATGTTTTTGACAATAAAAAAAAGCAGAAAATAACAATAAAAATTGTAAATTTATTCATGATTTTGAATTTGAATAGTTTTTANAAAAAAAAAATAATAATAAAAAATTCATTTGTCTTATAAATTGCATCGGACTATTTTTAACATGAAAGGCAGAAGATTCTTTTAATGAGGTAAAAAAATAAGTTTAACGGATCGAACGTTCGGAACGATAACAACATTGGTTAAAGAACTTCACAGAGAATTAATGAGAACTTTATATAATGTATTTTTATTTAGAAAAAGAAAACTGTAAGACGTTAAGAAGTATGTCAATGTCAGAATTTAGTGAAAGAAAAAGTCAGAGATACGACAAAGAAGAAAATTGAGTCAGCACTTTCTCTCTAAACTCATTCATTCTAAAGAATATGCATTCTCGTGTCACAGTATCCAGAAGTTTTTTTAAACTAGAAAATACACATTTATACTTTTGTTATTTTTCTGAATATAAAAATAATCCAGGATAAAATTTACATTCTTGAAAAAAGTATGACTTCAACTTCTACATTAATAATTCTTACTGTATTTTTATCCATGAAAATTCGAGAAATTCTTATTTAAAAAATAAATAAATAAAATTCCTGAAATTTTATTTTTCACAATTTTGTGAATTTTCATTCTTGAAACCAGTAAAATATTATAAATATAAGAGAAAATATTTATATAATACTATTATCAAAAACTAAAGTTTTGACTTAAAATAAGAATAATTCGATTGGAAATCATTATTATAATCGAAGACCAATTTATGTACGAAATTTCGCCAATAAAAATAATTAGAATTGATTTTTTCGACAAAAAATTATAATAAAAATTTCATTTATTTAATCTTTGTTTTAGAAATTCCTTAAGTTTATAAGAATTTCATTTTAAAACAAACTGAAATGGAATTTATTTATTCGGATAACGAATATTAGCTTAACATTACTTTAATATTAATAATAGTGAATATCATCTTGACATTAAAAGAATGTACAATATAAATTTTAAATTAGTAATAAAGAAAGTATGTTTTCTTATGAGGAAAATGTAAGATATATATACATATATATATATTAAGCAGAAGAAAAATAGTTTTGAGTATGTCTCTAGACCAATAAGGAAAAAAAAAATGATAAAGAAAATAGAATTTCTATTTACAATTTTTATGTATAGAACAAGTAGCAGATCCTGTTGAAAAATGCAAGACACGTATCTGGCTAGCTTTGTTGTCGGTCAGTGCAACTCACTAGGCAACAACCTAAGGCGTTACAAATTCTAAAGAAAAACAGATAACAGTTACAAAGAGTTATAATAAGTATTCTTTATTAAGAAAGAAGTTTTTAAAATATAATAATAAATATTAAAATGTCCAAGTTACAGATTAGTATAAGATGAAAAATTGGTAAATAGAGACACATAGAGGCAGTTGGTGAAATCTGACTCCTAATCATTTGCCAAGATTATTGCATTTTCGTGTTATGAGTACTTATATCTAGTTACGAGACAGTAATCGAGATACTATATTTAGCTTATCGAAACCTACAAGAGGTAGACGTTTGTGGCTAGCGTACAGGACCGCTTTATTCTCGGCTCGGTGCTGCGTGTCGTCATTATTTCGGTTCTGTAAATCGAATTCGTGATTCTGTTTACAAACTGGAACGTTCTAATGTCATTTCTATCTACTCAATCCCAGATGCAGACAATAAAAAAAAAAGCAGAAAATAACAATAAAAATTGTAAATTTATTCATGATTTTGAATTTGAATAGTTTTTAATTCTTTTCTTTCTTTAATGTCTATATTAGTAATGGCAGACAAGAACAAAAATAACATCAAAAAACTATTTTAGGAACAACATATGGCCAAGAAAGAGAAAGGAATCGATTGCTATTATGAAATAAAATGTATAAAAACAAAATAATTCAATTCCGATTCCTTAAGCACGATTAAAAATTTATTTTTCCTTATTGTTTATTACTCATTTATTGAAATTCCAAAATTGAAACATGAAAATACTTTCTGGAAAATACCATTTCTATTTTCTAGAAATGGATATTAGAGAAGTACTTTATTTATTTTATTTTTCCCTGCCATCAAATCCCATAGGATCTTTCATCATTCTATGACAAAAATATTATGACATTGGTGAACTTCAGTTATATCTTCTCGATCAGCTTTTCCTTTCATCTTCAACGTATAAAGCTAAAAGGAACTTTATATTTCTCAATTTTATATATTTTTTTTATTTGCTGTTATTGAACTTTAATATGATATTTCGATAACATTTCATATTTCTTTTATAATTTTCAACAATTTTATTTCTAGAAACTAAACTGAAATTTTATGTATTATATTTATTTACCAATTCTGAATCCAAAAATGTAGCGATTCCATTGATNCAAGAAACTGAATACAAAAATATGTTAATTCTTTATCATAATTACACAAAATTCATTTTCCTTAATCATTTATATTCTTAGAATTTGTATCAGAGTTTTAGTTTAGAATATTATATTAATAGAAATTTCAATTAAAACTCGCTTTATCAGCGAGTTTTAATTGAAACTTTCCATGTTAGCAATTAGGAAAATTACTTCACTGTATCCATTTCTAACAAAGGAAAAAACTTAATTTAAAACTAGTTTAATTTCACTAAAAAATTTTTTATTAACGAGAGAGAATGTAAAAAATTCCGAAAATAAATTAGATATTATGATTAAAATCGAATTTAACGAATAGAATTTAAATATAATTAATTCTGGATAGTTTTTATTTATTTTTTTAAGTTTCGCTATAATTTTAAAGAAAGTCTTCTCTGAAATCTATAAAAAATACAGTTAAAAATAACAGCTAACTTGTGCAATATTTTGTCTCTTTCACAACTTAAAAAGTAATCACTTTCAATAAAATATACATAGGTTTCTGCTATATTTAAGAGTATAGTATATATGAATTGATGAAGAACATTGAAAGAAACAATTGTAAGGAACCGTTTTATTGATCCTTTTTTGTAACCATGAAAAGAAAAATGGAAGAATATTTGCTTTTTTTATACAATTAACAATATTTAATAATAGCTGCAATTAAAATTCTCCTTCACAAAACTATAGTTTAATTGCAGAAACTTTTCCTTTCAATCTTAAGTTTATTCTTATTAAATTTTAATTAATAAATTTAGAAATATTTTATATAAATATATCTAAATAAAATATTATTAAATGGAGTCTTTTATGCTACGTAAACTGTAATGAATATTTTTTATTTATTTATTTTACGTTTATAACCCGATAAGTCTGCAAGCTTTCACCATCTCATCAATAACACATTGATTCGACAGGGAATTATACTTTTTTCTTCAGAACTAATCGCATCTTAATCACAAATAATTGAAGGGTGAGAAAATGCTCAGGTTAATGCCTTCTTCACTTTAAAAATGCTTCATTAATAAATTGGCTCAAGCCTCTTGCATTTATTTTTAGAAAAATGATTATTTTAGGATTGAAAAGAAGAAATTACACGAAAAATTTTACTGAAAAAATTAACTTTATAAAGTCAAATTATAAAAATAATTATAGGTTTATATTCTTTAAACGCGACAAAATATCTTCCATTATTTATAACTTTTACTTAATTTTTCTCCCTTGATTGATCTCCGCCCATATTGAAATTAGTTCGAACTTAGTTTAAAATTATAAAAAAAATATATGTACATAAATGAAATTAAACTTTATCGAATTAATTATTATTTAGTATAAATAATAGGAGCTAGAATAAATTAACGAACAGTGAAAGTATGTCAATAACCGCATTCAACGAGCCTTTTGACATTTTCAAAATCAGACCCATCGATGAGACTCTCATCAGCAACTACTTCTCTAACAGTTAATTTCCTCTCGGTTAAAATTTATTAAAATTGTTTAACAATGATTATATAATAAGCTCAGTTAAAAATAGTTTTTAAATATATTGATTTTATAACAATAGAGCGTTAATCAAACTTTACAGATTGTATCTTGCTTACTTTTATATATGATTATAAAAGTGTCTACTCGAGTTTTTTTTTTAGGACATTAGTTGTTTATATGATTAATTTGTAAGAATTTACAGTTTTATTAGGTAATAAAATGGAGTAGAATTACTTTTATAACTTACCTAACTCGTCTATGGTTGGAGAAAGGGTTAGGCTAACGGCTATCAAAATAACACTAGTGAGTAAGATGAAACATGATACAAAACCAATTAGGAAGATGATAGTCCTTCTTCTCCGATTTTCAGGACTGTTCTGCTCTTCTTTAGCTATAGAAGGAGCTGCAGATGGTCTCCGACTGTGACTACTTCCTCCGGATATAGAATGACTACTTCTTCGATGATGATAACTTTGACAAGAAGCTCGTCTCTGAGAGCCGCAATCGGAATGGGACGATCTCCTGCTGTGATTGACACTACTAATGCTGGAACACCTGGAGGAATGGCGACAACTGCTAGTTGATAAGGTATCACTGGATATATCAGGAACCACTCGTCCCCTGTACAGTTCCGTTTCCGGATAAGAACCTTTCCTGCTCCTCTTGTGATGTTTGCGATGGTGACGTTCATTCATGTCCACTTGATAGGAATGTCTACGACAATTATGAGTGCAACTTCCATCTGGAATAGATAATAGTTGAAGCTCCGTAGAATTTCTTTCCCGCGGAGAACTTTTCTTGGGTTTCTGTTCTTCGACATCGTCGGATGTCACCATCACTATAATTCCTTTTGGATGACCATTGGATTGTTTGGTTTTTACACTCTGCTTTAAAGAACTTCTATCTGGATTAGATAGGTCCGGAAGAGACATGGCAGGTTCCATGGTTTGAAACTTCAGTCTATCGACACCGGTCCTAAAGTGACCTGTACACTTTGCTGAGTGTTGGCAGTCCACGAGAGAGGTGAATCAGTCGGCAGTGCGCATTCTCAGTTAGTGTTTCGTCACCATGGCAACGGATAATCACGTGGACACGCATTCCCTCCTCATCTATCTCACAGATTCAGAAAAGTGATGCGATGACACGGTGAGAAACCACTTAAGATACTCATAAAGAAGCTTAAATTTATGGGAGAAAATAAGGAAATTTATTTTTAAATCAAACTACGATTATTTCCGAAATGCCCTTTCGTGTTTAATAGCCATAACAAATAAGTACAATAGTAACAGTTAGTGATGCATTAGTACTTTCTATTATTATAATGACGTTATCACAAGAATGAATATAATTATTCAACGTACAAAATTACGCTTTTAGATAGCAGCTGAAATTCCATTATCACTTCATCGCATCTATGAAATCCATTAAAACTTAGAAAAATATTAATAGATAAACTGTGTAAGAGACAAAATCGTTGAGATCCTGATATCGGTTTATATAATAAAATTACTCCCAAAAGGATGCGAGCCTCGAATTATTTTTACGACTCTAATTCGATTAAGTTAGATGGTTTTGTTCTAATAGTTTTGTTACTATTTATGGATTATTTATATTCTACTGAGTTTGCACGAACTCTTTGCAATATTTATGACACGATACAGTTTATATCGATTGTTGATACGCTTATAATATATACGGAATAATTTAAATGATGCTATCGATATTGTTTTCTTTCTACTCNTGTCACAGTATCCAGAAGTTTTTTTAAACTAGAAAATACACATTTATACTTTTGTTATTTTTCTGAATATAAAAATAATCCAGGATAAAATTTACATTCTTGAAAAAAGTATGACTTCAACTTCTACATTAATAATTCTTACTGTATTTTTATCCATGAAAATTCGAGAAATTCTTATTTAAAAAATAAATAAATAAAATTCCTGAAATTTTATTTTTCACAATTTTGTGAATTTTCATTCTTGAAACCAGTAAAATATTATAAATATAAGAGAAAATATTTATATAATACTATTATCAAAAACTAAAGTTTTGACTTAAAATAAGAATAATTCGATTGGAAATCATTATTATAATCGAAGACCAATTTATGTACGAAATTTCGCCAATAAAAATAATTAGAATTGATTTTTTCGACAAAAAATTATAATAAAAATTTCATTTATTTAATCTTTGTTTTAGAAATTCCTTAAGTTTATAAGAATTTCATTTTAAAACAAACTGAAATGGAATTTATTTATTCGGATAACGAATATTAGCTTAACATTACTTTAATATTAATAATAGTGAATATCATCTTGACATTAAAAGAATGTACAATATAAATTTTAAATTAGTAATAAAGAAAGTATGTTTTCTTATGAGGAAAATGTAAGATATATATACATATATATATATTAAGCAGAAGAAAAATAGTTTTGAGTATGTCTCTAGACCAATAAGGAAAAAAAAAATGATAAAGAAAATAGAATTTCTATTTACAATTTTTATGTATAGAACAAGTAGCAGATCCTGTTGAAAAATGCAAGACACGTATCTGGCTAGCTTTGTTGTCGGTCAGTGCAACTCACTAGGCAACAACCTAAGGCGTTACAAATTCTAAAGAAAAACAGATAACAGTTACAAAGAGTTATAATAAGTATTCTTTATTAAGAAAGAAGTTTTTAAAATATAATAATAAATATTAAAATGTCCAAGTTACAGATTAGTATAAGATGAAAAATTGGTAAATAGAGACACATAGAGGCAGTTGGTGAAATCTGACTCCTAATCATTTGCCAAGATTATTGCATTTTCGTGTTATGAGTACTTATATCTAGTTACGAGACAGTAATCGAGATACTATATTTAGCTTATCGAAACCTACAAGAGGTAGACGTTTGTGGCTAGCGTACAGGACCGCTTTATTCTCGGCTCGGTGCTGCGTGTCGTCATTATTTCGGTTCTGTAAATCGAATTCGTGATTCTGTTTACAAACTGGAACGTTCTAATGTCATTTCTATCTACTCAATCCCAGATGCAGACAATAAAAAAAAAAATATTTTGTATCTTACTTACTTATTCCCATCTCAATTTCGATCATTGAAGTGTTAAACGTTGAATATTTTTATTATATTCATTATTCTAAAAATTCATGGAGGTAAACAATTAGTTACATATTACTCAAACTGTCTAGAAAAGAAAGCACCGTATTTAAAGTATTGTAATTACTAAATTAGTTAAATTTATATATACAACGTCTTTAAGATCAATTTCAAAATTTGTTCAGAGTATTAAATATTGAAATTAGATTATACAGGGTGGACCAAAAGTCAGTTAACTGCTGTAAAGACTAAATTGCTGTCTTATTCGAATACTTTATTATCTACTAACTTTGCAAAAATTGTTAAAGCGAGATCCTTCTTATTTAATGTACAAATTGTGTTTGGTATATTATCAAAAACTGGTGAATTTTTTTATAAAAACATGGTTACTTAACTATTGGGCTACACTGTACCGTAGAAGTTATAACTAAACATTCGAGAGTCTAATTTTTTGAGAACTAATTTACAAACTATAGTAAAATAATTTGTAGATTAGTCCATACTTATTATTGCTTCTATTAGATCTACTTTTTTATAAATAAGTTTACATATTTAGTTTTTTAATTTTCATATTATATATCAATGTATTTCTTTTTATATATTATATATTTTATTATTTATTTAATTAAAAAAAAAACAGAAAAAATTAATTTACAAAAATATTGCTCTTTTACTATCGATAAATAAAAATAAGTTCAATAATTATTATTTTATTGCCTTTCTAAGAATTAAAATTGCAAAAAATAAATGTTTATAAATTGTTTTAGTTTTCTAGAATAAAATTTCCAGTAACGAGTTGCTTAACTTTCTCGGAAACATTTGGTGGTGCCATCTGTTATTATACTTTATTTTAAAATGATTTTTATATTTTTAATTATTATAAAATGACAAAAAAGCTTAATTTTGAAGGTAGGGATGGGTTATTATAAAAAAAATTACAAATGCTAATAACGAGTAAAATCGTAATTAAGTCCGACCCTACTGGAGATACACACGACCTTTTATCTCCCACCCCCTCGACCTTTAATCACCAAAATTTAATAACATCAATCCCTCTATACACTCATTTTCCTGCAAAATTTCAGAAATTTTTGACCAAAAGCACCCGAGTTATTAAGCTTCAAAGAGAGTGAACAAAATCGTGCCTCCCCACACACATTAACATCCATACATACAGAAATTACCCCGAAATTTTTTCTATATATATACATATATAGCTATTCTGTATCTACTTATTATATTTACTTGAATTCTTCACCACGTTTAGTTAACAACTAGATAAAACACAATAGCTTCAATAAACTTTTTTGTTGTCATTCCAGATTACAACAATAAACATCAGTGGGAGCATTTATCGACACAAAAATTACCTGTAATTTGATTGCATCCGCAATATCGCAATCAAGTGTTTTTTTTTCTATTAATGATTAACAAGATAACGTGAATATTTAACACCACGTAACTACTATATTCCTCCTTACAGAGTTGAAATGCATACAAATAGGAAATTACGAAAATTCGATATTTTCCCAATTTAAAGATTTTCAAATTCTGTAGGGACTTTAAAGATATGCTATAGAATTTGAGCTATAAATAGAATCAGGTTTACTATAGCTTTGAGGGTCGTTTTCTCATTCAAAATGCTAAAAGCTTCTTCCTTTCATCCATGTCAAACAAGTATAGATTTATTCATAAAATTAAATTAACAAGTAACTTATTTATTACTTATTAAATCTGTATACAAGATGCTTTCTCGTATAAGTGCAAGATTTTATTAAGTTATATAAAATACAAATATCGAATATAGAATTTTTCTTGCTATCGATATTTGTATTTTATATAACTTAATAAAATCATTTCATATCTTGTAAAATATATTTGAAATTTTTGTGAAAGTACATATTTTAAAATCAAATCATCGATAATAAAATATAGAGTATTTGCTACAAATCTTACATATCATAAAATTCTTCTTATTCTTTACTCAATCAGTATGAATAAAATAAAATCACAAAACTAAATTTAAAAAGATTTATATCTGTGTAAATTTAAGATTTTTGTGATTTGTTTTAAATTAATTTAAGATTAAAATTAATATAATTAAATGCTTTTATTTAACTTGCTTTGTATCGTCCTCATATCTTGCAACTCAAATTTCATCCAATTCTAATTAAGATAGAAGCCTGAAACTTTGAGAACATACCTAAGTCAATGCATTTTAATGATATTTTAGGGAGTGGCCCACACCCATCATTCTCCCCATTCTTAAATCCGATAAACATAACCAAATATAGAATTTAATCATGTATGTGTGTGTGTGCATGAATGCACTATAGTAAGATAGTTCACTCTATCCCCACAATCAATTTCGACAAACACGACCAATAATTTTTTTTACTTCTTGAAAATATATTAAAATTATTTTAACATTAAATTTATTTTTTAAATGTTCGAATCATGAAAGAAAACTTGATTATATTCACAAGAATTACTAAAAAATTAAGAAGACAAAATTAAATAAATTGAAATATAAACTTAATTTAATATAAAACGAAGAGTGAAAATATTAATATTGATAGTTCTTTAAATATTGTTGAAAGATATATTTAAATAATAAAGAAATCCAAGTTTTATTAGTATATTATATTGTATTATGCCCTAAAATCTTTAATCTATCAACTAAAAAATTAATTTTAGGGTATTAAATAAATCATAATAAAAAACTTTTAAATTTTTAAATGCTTATTTTTTCTTATATAATAAATTGGCAGAATAAAATTATTTTATAAATTTTGTGTCAAACTAAATAAAATGATAAGAATAGATAAATAGAAAAAAAGCTTCTTGTAAATAGAATTCCTTTGATGTTGCCCGCTTCTTTGATTTATAAGTTCTAAACAA